AACTAGTCCAGTACTGGTAGATAATTGTATTATGTCTAATAATTTGCTATTATAAATTTATAATGTCTCAGTGAATAATCTTAAGGTATATCATGTCATATTTGTGGTGCAGGTATAATTAATTATTGGCTTGACTGTATGAAATACAATTGCTGGATCAAAGGGTACAACATCAAAGGGTACAATATCAGTTTATATTCTCACTAGTAATGCATGAGAATGTCTGCTTTTTAAAACAGCCTGAATAGAGTATTTTTAAACTTGATATCAGTTTGATAGAGGTGAACCACATAAGAGGATAATTAGTCTACTTACCTATGTTTAAAGGCTTTTAGATTTTCTTGTTAAATGAACTAAACTATAATTATGACCATTTTTTTTCTGTCAAGTTGTTGATTTTTACTATTCAGTGTTTTGGAACTCTTAATATTAAGGCTATTGGTCTTTCATTTTATAATATAAATTGAAAATAGATTTTTCACATGCTGCCATTGTCTTTTGATTTTTCTAATGATAGTTTCTTCTGTGTTGTACCCAAGCTTCTCATTTTTTATGTATTGGAATTTATCACTCTCTCATTGTTAAAGTCATGGTCTAGCCAAGATAAAAATGATGAAAAGCAACAAGCCAAACAAGCATGACACTCCATTAATATGTACAATTTTTGCTTTTATATATCAGTTAAAATTAATAGAAGAAAAAATGTGACAAAATAGCAGCTTTTCTTTATTCATCCTGAACTAGAGAATACCATGTGGCATATTTATAACTTAAAGTCATATTAAGGTAAATACGAAAGTTATCTCCTTGGGGAAAGACCATGCGAAACTATAAAGGAAAAGCAGAAAACAGTGGATTCTCACTTGTGAACTGTGGTTTAGTAGCCAATTTTATATTAAATTATACAAATTTTCTGGGAAAAAATGGAATGGGTACAAAAGACATTAATTTATCTTCTTTTTTGCTTTGTATACCTGATTTACTTAATTAATATTTTATGAGCCTTGAGAATTTATTAAAGAACATGCCTTTTTGTAATGATGTTCTTTGCAAAAGAAAAAAGAAAAATCCAATTTATACACACTGGAAAGATTACATTTCTTTTCTTTTTGCAGTTAGGTACTAACATGTGGTAATGAGAGGGTAGGACTTACTCAAGAAACTGAGAAAAAGCCAGTACAAAGACTAAACAGAGACACAGACATACAGACACACACACACACACCACATACACACACAAACACACACGATGGGACTAGATAGGTAGGAAGGAACTGGATCCTGGAGTTTAGGATATGAGACATTTTCCAAAGTGCTAGCATGGAAAAGAAAAGTCTTGGAAATAAAATCTTTTTTTTTTTTTTTTGTTCTTTTTTAAAAGTCTCTCTCTATGACAGTACTGGGGATTTATTTTTCACATGCTAGGCAAGCACTCTACCACTGAACTACATGTCAAGCCCCACTGTCCTTTTTATTATGAGACAGGGTCTTACTAAGTTGCCCAGACTGGACCTTGAACTTGTGATACTACTGCCTCAGCCTCTCAAGTATCCTGTGGTGCCCAGGTAGATATACTACTGTAAATATTGGTAACAAAATGTTGTTGCAGATGAAAGAAACATAAAACAATGGGTTTGTTTCAGATATGAGTGTAATGAAGCAGTCAAAGTCAAAGGTTCTGTGGCAAGGATTTGTAGTCAGAGGTTTAAATATTCTTCTACCACAAAATTTAAAAATTCTATATTGGGAATGAGGGCAAAATATTCTTTCAAGCACCTTTTTCTTTGCTTAGTTGTCTATTCTAATATCTCCTGAGAATTGTGTCTGCATATTTTTCCCATTGGTTCAGGCTTTTTTTTTCTTAAATTGAATGCTTGCCAATTTTTTTTTTTAAATCAGTTATAGATAAAGCTTAACACTTCATTCTCTTTAGTGAATTCTATAACACTTTTAACTTTTGAATTTCAGGACAGTCAAATATACATGGATTGTGATTCTTGCATCTTCTTTACTGTTTTGAGCTCATTAAGGTATTATAAATTTTTTTCCTCTCTTAGTTTTATTTTTCACTCTCCCCTTAACCAAGCTGGAATTATTTTTGTTAGTGGAATAAGGTGGGGATCCATCTCCCCGTCTCCCACTACATGTGAGTAACCAATTGCCCTAGAACTGTTTAATGAATAGTATATATCCTTCCCAGTAACTTACAATGGCATCTCTGTCTTGTTGTATTAAGAGTCCAATAATGTTTGGGGGAATTTCTAGGCTTATTAATCTGTTTTATTGATTTGTATCCTGGCAAACAGCACCCCTTTTTAATTATTATTTAAGTCTTGATGTTTTTAGAGAAAGTCCCTTGCCAATTTTACTTTTTTTTTTATTCTTTAAGTTTTGCTTGTAAATTTCAAGTTCAACAAGCCGTATTTAACAATAAAACCTATTAGAATTTTGTCTGGAATGACAATGAATTTGTAAGCACATTAAGAGTAAATGTCCATATTCCAGTCTTCCCAGTGTATAATCGTTCATTTTGGAAAAATGTTAAGCAACAGCAAATGGCCACAATGAAAAGGAAGTGGTATCACTACCTGTATGAGAACCTTATGAAGCAAACTCTTAAGAACAGTAAAAAAGAGCCAATAAAACTTTCAATTCTTAAGGAATCTACTTGAAATATGGATTTATACTTTCTATCATTGCTAATGAATCCTGAAGTACGTATTATGCAATAAGACACAGGTAGTAAGTCAGTCAGTCATAACGATTAGCAAGACATTAAAAATTTTGTTTATAACATCTTCATTTCAATCTTAAAAGTGTTTTAATTTGTAGAAACATCAGTACATCTAATTTATCAGTAGACACAGACACACAAATACATACACATTCATCGAAAGTATGCAGGTCCACTTTTTCTTTTTTGTATGCAAGTATATACATTTGAGAAACTACTAATCCATACCATGGCAAAACGGTTTTATAAAAGAAAATCTGATAGTGTCACTCTCCACTCCAAATGGTCAAGCATTTTTTCATGGCCCCCATGCAAAGTCAAAATCTTCAATATTTTATGGCTTCTTCATAATCCGGTCCCCACTTATTTCCTTCATTTCATCTGTCACTATACCCCCTTGTTCTCTATGCTAATAATCACACTAAATGATTTTTGTCCTAAAGAAAAAGGAAATCACATCAAGAAGTTACTCAAGTATTTAAAGTATCACGAAGACTAGTTTTAGATTTATAACTATCATTACTTTTACAACTTCAATTTGTATTCATATATCTGTATACTTTGCCTAGAATATGACAATARTTTAAACGTTTTATGTTATTTTCTATATATGCTTGGATCTGTCTTACCACTTATGTTCATTAGAATAATAGAATCTGAGGACTAAAAATTTTAAAAATTTAATTTTAAAATGTAACATCTATTTTAGACACTTATCAGATGCTTCTGAATACCTCCAAAGACAAGGCAATAAAGGAATCATGTCCTTTTTCTTCTTTGAGAAATATCTAATCCTCAGAAATAATCTTTCTTTCATTCACCTGAAATATTTCCCTCTAATTTACAGCTAATTTTCCTAATTCTACTTCCTGAACCATGTAGAAAAAGCTCAGTCCTGTTCAATGTAACAGCTATACAAATATTTACAGCTCACTACCATGTTACTTCTAAGGCTTCTCTTCTGTGGTGGTAAAGAATGGGAGGTGGAGAATATGGAGAGATTAGTGTTGCCCATCTGTGAGTTTAATTTTTATTTACTTCTCACATTGCTCCAGCAAATTCATTGTTAGCATAGGCAAATTAAAAGTGAGAAATTAAAGCACTGATAGGTAAGTACTTGTAAAAGGAATTTAAATAGTATAGCTGAGATTTCAATCACAAGTCTGTCATAAGCCCAAGTTTATGTTCTCACATCTTGAGAATTTTAAACTGCCTCCCTAAAAGGGGAGGTGATATAAAGGAGTATAAAACATGCATTGCAAATAAATATTTTAAAAATGCTCTGCTTTCCAATGCCCAAAATTCTATGTACCAATATATTTTTTGTTAAGCCTTATATCATAGTTACCTTTGACATTTCTTTTGTCTTAACAACATAATTATCATCTTAATGTTTCTCAAATATTTCCAAATAAACTCATATAACCTAAAATCAGGAAAAATTAAATCCATATTTCAAAACAAGGGAAAATTATATCCATATTTCAGTCCCTCTCAATTTTAATCTGACTTAAAACCTGAAAACTCTATCCCTTCCATATCTATACTGATTTCTGTACTTTCTTTTGAGAGCCCTGAAATAACACCACTGCTTTCAATGATCAAATTTAATGTTAATGTTTTTATCGCTTCCAAGACATAATCTTTAGCCCAGGTTAACAAAAGCTACTTGTTCTCTCATCTCCACACAAGTATTTATTTGATAACATTCCCTCACACTTCAAAAGGYTCTTCTTGACTTTCCTCTGTTAACTCAAGGTTCTCCTTTAATTAAACTCAGTAAGATATGAATTTAATATGGCCTTCATCATTCAGGCTTCTGAAAAATCTGTCCCTATACAATTCAGTACATGATTACATTATATTTGTCACATATACTAAGTTTCTTCTTTTTCTAGTTAYATCACAAACAATTAAAAGATAATTCATCTATTTTATTTCTCAACTAAGTACAAAAGATGGAACAGCCCATTTTAAAGGTAATTTATAAACAACTTTTTACTCGGATCTTTTAGTTTGTTTATTGTGAATTTCTTACCATATACTTCATTGTAAAGAGATGAGACCAATTCAAATTTTCTTTTATAAATAATTAAAAATGCAACACAAAATTCTAAATTTGCTTTTTTCTCTAGACCATATTATAGAGGCAAATTAAAATAATGTTACTTATAAGATAAATTTCCCTATGAATACAAAAACTTTTGTATATAATTAAGGATATTAAAACATAAAATTACATACTGTGCACACACAAAAATCTTACCTTGCTGAGTAGTTTGTTCTTGCATTCGATTCACAGTGAGGTCTAAGGGGCCTTCCTGCTCTTCCTGAAGGGAGTTTTCTGCTTGATTCATTTGGATACTTTTACATAGGAGACTTGGTCCAATTGAACCATTTCTATTCTCTTGAATTTTACCACTTTTTGAAATGTACTCAATTGCAAACTGACGTATCATCTTTTTCATTAATTCCTGAGCAACTAGGGGAATGTTAGGATCACAGTTCTGAGGAAGATCTAGGGAAGAAATAAATACAATAATCATTAAAAAAGGGAAATGTACACCACCATCAATTAAACTTATTTTTATTACAAAATTAGTGATATTAGAAGTCTTAGCAACAGTTCTCAATTGCCAATGGTTTCTGGACTGAGAAACAGAAGCCTCATTTATTTTCGTGATAACATATCCCCCCAAAACGTCATATTTTCTCAATTCTTGCAAATAAACATTCTCTGTACCAAACTAAAATACAGATAGACAATTAGACATAAGCAGAACTTATTTTCAGAATTTTAATATTTAAATATATTAGATATTAATAATTAGTATGTGAATATAAATTATATATATGAATAACCAAGCATTCTTTCTCTCTCTCTCTTTTTTAATTTTTGGTAGCACTGAGGTTGAATCCAGGTTTTCATGCACATTAGGCAAGTGCTCTACCACTGAGTTATATCACCAGCCCACCAAGCAATTTTTAATTTAATATACAGAGTACATGCATTAAGAAAACATTTAAAAAACTCTGTATGGAGTTTTTCAAATTTGTTAAATATGTATTTCTGTACCCTGAATTTTTTCAAGAATTTTTTAACTTTTTACATAGAAAAGTTTTGATCACAAAAAATTGAATAGTATGATGACAAAGCTTCCATAAAGTTTCAAGAATTGTTAATATTCATCACATTTCATTTCTTTTTCCTGTTATTAATCTGGAGAGACACTGAAGGGACTCTATGGAATTAGGACATTTCATTCATAGATACTTCAGCATGCATCTCCTATGATTCCCTATAAAATGACAGAATTGTTGAGGTTCTTAATCCTTAATTCTATAAATATCATTTGATAAGATACCCACTATAAAGAAGTTCAACAGTGRTATATAATTCTGCCTGAAATTTGCATAATGGGCAAAAACAACTGAAAGATAGATAGTGTGACATAAGTTGTGTGATAATGATAGGGCATTTGTAAACACAGTGTATAATAGCAGTATAGAGATTTGTTTGACAGTGGTAATGGTGGTGGCTTTTTTGTACATACTGCTAGCTTTACTCCAATTCCTTTATATGTACTGGCCTTCAGAGGTCGAGTGACTGGTAAAATGGGAAGGGTATATTTGCTTAAGTGTTCCTATTTCTAGAGATACTAATTCTCTGAACCTTAAATACCTAACCACTTATCCAGGCAAAGTAGTATTATATGAATAGGCCTTTCCTAATCCTTGGCTAAGACTGGAGGCACAACTCTCCCTAGTTTTATTTAAGTATTAGAAAAACTTCTCCAAGAGATCTGAAGGGGAGTTCTCCAACTAGTATCTATCACCATAGGTCTATGACTCTAAAATGTTATTATTTTGAAGAGAGGAGATACACAATCCTGCTTCCCTATCACATCTGGTAGCAAAACATGACCTAAATCAATATGTGTCTATTTATGGTTCTGTAGAAATGTCAATAAATTTGATCACAGAGCACTTTTTCAGACCTGCTAGAGATACTACATAATAAACTCTATATTTTATCTCTAATGAAACAAAGAAGTTTGAATTAAAAAAAAAACATTTGAGAGAAGAGATACTCGTTCTATAGAGAAAGTAACATTTTAGCCTTCACTTCTATTTTTTATTTAGAACTTGAATGGGAAAACCCCCTACTATTTGCTCTTGGAAACTGGAATAAAAACCATAGCTACAGGTTGCAATCTTAGCCATCTTTATGATCAGGGTATTTATATATATCCTCCATGTTTTAATTTCTCCAGTCATTCAGATAAAATAACAGGCTGGGCATGGTGGTGCATGCTTATAATTCCAGCAGCTCAGGAAGCTGAGGAAGGAGGATGGTGATTTCAAAGCCAGCAAAAGTGAGGCACTAAGCAACTCAGTGAGACCCTGTCTCAAATTATAGAAACGCTTGCTTAAAGGATGCTGTAAGGATCACAAGAGATTGGAGGTAAAATGCTRAACTATGCATTTGGCATACTAAAAGTTCATTAGATGTTACCTACTATCAGGAATCATAGTAGAAAGAACAAGAGAAACAAAAATATGCAAATTAAGCAGTTATAAATTTTATTTATTTTTAGTTTTAATTATATCTTATTTAAATCATAAAATGACAAGTAAGTAAAACTAAGGATAACTGGGGAAACGATATAATTTTAATACTTTTTGGTCCAGAATAGTTAGCATTATCATATATACCTTAACTAAAGTGAATCATCAAAATAAAAAAGTTTCCATGTTGCACACAAGAATTCCAAATATATAAACCTTTAGGAATCTTGAAAGGCTTGTATGAACATTCTTCTCTCTCTTTTTTCAAACCTAATTTTGCTTTCCATTATGTGTTTAAAAGAGATACTGGCTTTGCTTTTAGATATTTTAGTTAACTGTCCTGCCATTAATTGACTAACATTATTATCACCTGGCTAATTGAAAAGGATAAAATTTGCCAGAAAGGAATGAAGACATAATAAGGAATGAAGACATAAAATTGTATCATTTAACTAGAGTTATACTTTAGGGCTAAGTTTAGAGCTAAGTTTATAAACTCTGTTCTATTCACCTACTTCCTCTTTGTACCTTTTATGTTACAATATAGAATTAACCCCCATGTGAAATTAAAAAAGAGAGAGAGACAAAAAAAACAATGCTAATCAGCTGCTGAATAATCAGTAAGTATCCTACATCACTAGTCCAAATTGTCCTAACTAAAATAAGCAAATGATAACTTAAGATCTTGGTAAGGGATTTTAAACTCATTTTTACAAAGGTCAGATAAATATGGGAAAACACGCATAGATTATATGAAAATACTACACTATTTTATATATGGGACTGAGTATCCAGAGATTATGGTGTGTGTGTGTGTGTGTGTGTGTGCGCACACACACACACATGAACGTGCTTGATGGGGTGCTCCAGGAAACAATCCACCATGGATACTGAGGGAATATTTTATTTAGCTAGAAAAGAGTGAGCATTGCCATACAAAAGTGAATCTACTGCCCTCAAAAACAGAGACTTACTTATTTTTGCCTTATCTTTTCATTTTTTAATGTTAAATAATTTAAAAAGTTTAACAAGCTCTGTGTGGTAGCCAGCTGCAAGATGGCTTTGAAATGATTCCTGTGTCTCCTGTATTAAATTATTTTGTAGTCCACTCCATGTTGTACCATGGTGATTTGTGGAAAAGTGTGGTTACTTTAAAGATCAGGTTACAAATGACTGAAATATCACTGAACGTTGGCGCTCTCKTTCTGTCTCCTCTGCCCCTCTCTCTTTTCCTCTTGCATTCATTTCTCAGTCCCTCCATCTCTCTTTCTCATCACTCATGCTGCAGGCGCAATAAGAAAAACTGTTAACTATTAATAACTGTTAATAATTCTATATTCAACAAAACTATTGTTTAAAACAAGGAAAATTAAGACATTCCCAGGAAACAGAAAATGCATCACTAGTYGAGCTAACCTAATGAAAAGATACTAGACAGTAACTTCACTCCACAAGGAGAAATAAGAAGCATAAGTAAGGTAACTACATCAGTGAATTACAGTATAAATGTATTTTTCTGGATCATTGTACTGTCATGTGTAACTAATTAAAACAAATTAAAAAAAGAAAAAAAAGAAATAAAGAATATGAACCACAAAAAAAAAATAAAAATAAGAAGTAAAAAAAGGTATTTTTCTGGTCTTAAAATTATGTTTATTTTTTGTTTCTAACTTTTCCTATCTAACTTAGCAAGTAAATGCATAAAACAATAATTGTGAATCTGTCTTGGTGAACGTATAATGTTTATAAAGATGTAACATGGATGACAATAATAAYACAAAGGAGGGGAAAAGGAATAATACCTGTAGGAACAAAGTTTTTCTATACTACTCAAATTAAGCTGGTATTAATTCAAACTCAATTTTTGTTAATAAAGATATGAATTGCATTTCCCAGAGCAATCACCACCACCGCCCCACAAAAAAAATCAAAAAACAAACAAAACCCTGAATATACTAAACAAACAAACAAAAAAGGGAATAAAATATTATACTAGAAAGTATTTATTTTTACTCAAAGAAAGTAGTTATGGAGGCATAGAGAAATCATATATAACTAATAGAAAGCTAGGTACAGTGGTATGTACCTGTAATCCTAGCAACTTGAAAAGTTGAGACAGAAGGCTTATATGTTTGATGCCAGTCTCAACTTTATTTTTAAAACTCTTTTCTCAAAATAAAACAAACAAAAGAGCTGGGAATATGGCTCACTGGTAAAGCACCTYTGTGTACCAGGAAAAACCAAAAACAGTAAAATGACAGATGTAAGTCCTACTTTATTAGTAATTACATTAAATGTAAATAGATTAGACACTTCCAGTRAAAGGCAGAGATTGGGAGAATGCACTTAAAAAATTAATGATTTGGTTAACTGCTGTCAAAAGAGACATTTTAACTTCAAATACTCTAATAGGTTTAAAGAATAAGGATGGAAAAAAGACATGTTATAAAAACAATAATAAAAGAAAGCTGAATGGGTTATACCAATACAAAACAAGATTCTATCTCAAAATTGCTACTAGAAATTGAGGGAATCATTYGATAATGATAAAGGTTTTAATTAATCAAGAAGAGATTATATACACATATATAAAATCTCAACAAAGATCAAACATAAATGAAAAAAAATAGTTGAAGGGAGAAATAGAATATTTGACACTAAGAATTGGAGACTTGAATTTTCTTTCAATAATGGACAGAAAAACTAGACAAAAGATTGATAAGAATATTTGGACAACACTATAAATTGAATAGATCAAACATATATATTTAACACTCTAATACCAACAGAATATTTTTTTTTCACAAATGCACATGCAAATTCTTGAAGAGGACAAAATGTTAGGTCTCAAAACACATCTCAATCAATTTAAAAGAATTCAAAATATGTCCTTCAATCTTATGCTTTGGAACTGAAATATCTCCCAAAGGCTAATGTGTAGAAGTTTGG